GGAGGAAGACAGTGTACAGAAACCATATGTGAATCACAAAATATATTCACAGTACATGAATAATTTAGCAACATTTAAGAAGAATATAGCGATCATCAAATATAGCAGTTTAATAGCCAACAAGTTCTTTCCCTGGGGTTTGGGAGAACTATACCCTGAATTTGTAGTGAGATGAACTCTTTGATCTAATATATATTAGGATTTTAATTTAAGATATATTAAAGAGGTTATTTGGTAAAATAACACTCAAGACTGGCCCCAGGTAAATTGCTTTACCCTAAGCAAAGATAGATTTTGGTATCTTCCCTACTAATTGCTCCCTGTCTTCCTTTTCCCACCAGCTCACTCAGAAACTTACAAGGTCCTCTGTCTTCATTTCCTTCTCAGAACAATATCTCAGCTTCTGATCAGTCATGTGTAAGAAGTACTCTTAAAGTTCTTGAACACACTCCAGAATGCTAAAGATTCTTGGGCATATGAGAGGCAGACACTCATTGCTCATGACTAAGCAGAAACCGGGATAACACCTTTTAGAAGGGAGTTGGTGGAATAGACCACCACCAGAAAAAAGTGTGTTGGAGCTGGCCCAACTGCAATGGCCAGTGCAGCCTGAGCACTATTCTAGTGTTTCTTCCCCAGACATAGTGTTTCTTCCCCAGACATATTGCCTTAAGTACCTGACTACTTAGCCTATGCCTAGGGCTACTCTTGATTATAATGATAAATGAAGTATGAAAAATGTTCAGGAAACCCTGTCATCACAAGCAAATGAAAAAAATATAAAATAAAAATACCATTATTTTCTGATCACTTCATATAAATGTATTAGTTACTCCCATCTTAACTCCCTCCAGCACAAAAATGATAATATTTAGAAAAAGTAGAAGTACAAGGAGAAAGTATAGCTTTTAGGTTTTTTTCCTCTGTGGACTGAGATTGTGTGACAAGAGTGTATATTAAAAGTTCTAAAATCAATTAATAATTTACTGCTAAAATGGCACAAGGAAGTGGGTGTTTGTTTTTAAATAGAACAGTATGTGTGCGTTGGTTGTTTATGACTGAGTGTGGGTAACTGCATTGATTAAAACAGTACGTAGAGCAGACAGGCCAGTGCAAGTTTCTCAGGCAGCTCTGCCAATGCACTTCAGTCTCAACATGCAACAATCCACTCTCATTTGAACAGAGGCTGCCAAACAGGCAAAGTCATGTGATGGTTTGGAGATCATATAAAATTGACTACACAGCTTATGAACATTGGTTGATCACATCCGATGTCCTGATTATGACAAAGAGGTCAATGCAGCATCCAAAGTTTCAGAAGAAGGTGTAACTTCCCCAGATTGCATCAAGTCAACTGTGCTGTACTGTATACAGGGTGAAAGCGGGGAGGGGATATATTTCCTGACCCCTTCAGAAAATTATCTCAAGTCACAGAATTTGATTACTTTCGTTTACATAACTACACATTATACTCATAAAATTATCCAACCCTTTAAAAAAATCCAGTTAAAGTTTCTTTCAATTAGAAGGGCATTTAATCTCACAGGCTAATTATGTGCTATGTCAAATAGCATTTATTTGTTCTAAATTTGCCAGCTATTAATTTCATTGAGTAACTCATTAGCCAGGGAAAAAGGAAGGCCAGTGTTTTTTTTGTTTTTTGTTTTTTTTTACTATCGCCTTTGTAATTTGGAACACAATTCTTCTCCTTTCTAAACTAGAAAATCCCAGTTTTAAAGCTACCATATTTTAATTTTGCCATATCTCTTTTTCTGCTGCCCTTCAACATTTTACTTACTGTAGCATTTTCTTAGGGCCAGAGGACCAAAACTAGACCATGGCTCCTGAAAGTAGCATACCATTATCCAATGGAATTTCACTGTTCCCTTTTCTATCCACTGAGCATTCTATTTGCTTTATTAACTGCTAATGAACATTGGATACAGAGCTTCATTGAGTGATCCCCAATGATATCTAAATCTTTTTCCTTAGGGGATCTAGCAAGTTCATGGCCCGTAAGTATATATAATAGAAAGTTTAGAGTATTTTTGCCAAAGTGCATTTCATTGCATTTATCCAATTTGAACTTCATTTGCTGTTGTGCTGCCCAATCTCCCACAGCATTTATGCCTCTCTGGAATTTTGCACACTCCTTCACATTTTTTATTAATCAAAACACTTTAGTGTCATCTGCAAATTTCAACAAACTTTTATCCAATTCTCCAGTCAAATCATTAATTGACACTACTTCCAAAGCTGAAACCTGGAGAAACAGGCATTAGAGGAAAGATGATAAATATTTTCACTCGTAACCTAAGCAGAGATGAGTCCTATAACCACAAATCTGAACACCCTATCATTGCCAATATGGGAAATGCACACCCTAGTCAGCAGGGTTGGATTTTGATGGTGGCAGGAGCAATAAAGGCACCCCTTTGGGTCAGGGAAGCATCCTCATCCTGTTCCCCTCCTCCCCTCACTCTGCTGCTTGGATTTGGGTGGTGCCTGGTATTTGTGTTGGGTGGCGAGGGAGATAGGGTACATATCGCAGTAGTGTCTGGGATGGGACAAACTTTGGGCCATGGTCCCTGACTGATTTGTTCCCACCACCCCATTTTGGACCATTTAGGGAGCTTCCTGGATTTGAGCTGCCAGCTTCTGATGCCCTTAAGTTGCTCCACTCTTTCCTTCCTTCAGATAGATTCACTGGATCTCCTGGGATGTCAAGGGCTCAACTAATCACTTTTTTCAGGCCTTCAAGAGTTTTTCCCACAAGGCAGAACTGGCAAAATGTTTTGTGGGTGTTTTCAACTTCTTCTTGACACAAAAGAGGCCTCGCTGGTTCAATTAGAGTACTGATTAATGCAAATTGTGGCTAGTTTCTAGTGAAGATTGCAGGGTAGCAAGGTCATTTTGGGAACCTTCCAACTGTGGAATAACCAATCATTGTTCTGGGGCATTGGCATGGAATGGCGGATATATGCAGTCTTCCATGTTTGTGCATCTTGAAGCACCTCTTAACTCAAGTCTCCAATTTCCTTCAAGGAAAGAGGGGAGGAGTCTGGCTTTCCATGTCAGGTCCCATTGGCTGGCTGTGACACAGGAGTGGCAGCGTCTCATTTCTGATACATTCTACACAATCTGTTTTTGTTGGGATGGAGTGCTGTTTTAACTCAAGTTCAGTAATTCTATAACAGGGATTGGCAACCTTTGGCACCCTGTTCTATAATAATTTAATTTTATAGTAATTCAATGAAGTTGAAGCCTTTAATCCATATTTCTATGTCTACGCCTCATTGCTCTAGTGTTCAGGCTGGATCCAAACTTTGCAGTTTGGGCCCATTGCTTGATCCATTTATAAAGATTTATTTAATTTATTTAATGCCAGGTTTCCAGAAATGAAAGAACATTTCAGTACCCTAATGTGCTGTGCACATTTCAAAATATCCAAAAATATACACTTGTTTTTGATTCATTTGGAAACATAAATTTTATTTTTCTGTCAATGAGAATAAACCTTCAATTTCAGTGGCCCATAATTTTATGTCTGTTTTAGTATAAAACTTGAGTTCTATAATGACTGCACCACAGTTAAGGTGGGGCAGAGATTGTCTGGGGCTTACCCGGGAAGGACAGCTCTGCTTTATAGGGGGGGTGGGGGAGGGAGGAAGGAGGTCAGAAACTGCTGTAGAAAATGTGCTCAGTAGTCAGCTTTGCAGCAATGACCCCCTCTTCCCGCCGCAGGAATGTGAGGTCCGGAGGGCATAAAGGTACGAAACCTGGGTTGGGCAAGTCTCTTTGTTCACTTATACGGCCCTCCATGGAGGGCGGTTGTTGCAGTACTGGGTCAAGGACAATGCAGCTGCTGGTGCTCCTTGACGATCACACATGGGACAATGGGTTCTTTCTCCCCAGTAGGGCTGCTAGGCAAGAGGCCATTTGGAGATGTCTGGGAACCCGGCTGGGTTTGGGGAGGAGGCAGCGAAGCAAATTGCTGGCACCTCCTTGTGGCAGATGTCCAGTGCAGGTACTCCATAGGGAAGGAAGCCAGTGACCAGATAAATGGCCTGTTAAAGGACTTAAAAGGAGGTACTGGATAAAGGAACAGAACGGGGGAGGGGTTTAGGACTCCTCTGATTGGTACGGCAGGAAGCCAACCTTCCCCCACCCCGTTCTCATAGCCTACCTTAACCCTCTTACGAGGGTGGTGGATGGTAAGGTCCAAGCCATGGGTCAACTGGGGGACCTGGATGGAAACAAAGGGGGGCTGGCAGAAGCCCTGGAGAATTGATTTGAATAAGCATGGATTTGCCTGCACTATACACTTTATCTGCCGGGTAGTCCCAGACATCTATATAATAAAGTTGCTGCCTGATTAAAATCCATAACAAGTTTCTCCTGTCCTTCCTGCGGTGTACCCAGACAATTCCCCCACTGGTCTGACAAAGCCTAAGGTGTTTATTGTTGTTGGGTATTTTTTGTTTACTTTATTTTTTAAACTTCCTGACATGTTGCAAAGCCCACCAGTACCTAAGTTATTAAACTGAGAGGGTAACTTGAGTGGGTTGAACGTCTTTTATTGTTACATGCATCTGACGAAGTGGGTATTCACCCACAAAAGCTTATGCTCCAATACGTCTGTTAGTCTATAAGGTGCCACAGGACTCTCTGTCGCTTTTTACTGTTTAGGAACTTTTCTTTGAGTTGACTTTTCTTTATTGAGTTAGTTATTTGTCCTAGTTCCCTCCACACTTCAAGTTCTAAGCATGCATCTGATTCTTAGGGCAGGAGGACGCTACCCCCACCCCAGTGGCTAGGGATTAGCAGACAGAGTGCAGATGGAAAATTTGTGAGGCTTTTACATGACTAGACATTCATCGGGAGGATCTGATTGGAATTTATTTATATAACTTTAAATATAGGTACCGGTACATATATACTAGAGAAAGAAACACAAGTAAACATATTAAATGAAAAGCAGGATCCAAAAAACTACTTACAATACGAACAAGCCAGGACAGCGTAGAAGTAGATGTTGAATAATGGGTGTTGTAGTGATAAAGTGGAGTCTGATCATCTTCCCAAGTCTCATAGCGCTCGGCATAGAAAACTGCTCTCTTTGGGTTCAAAGCACCAATGGGCTGCAAAGAGATGAAAAGATGAATAATTATAACAGATGAAGGGTAGTATGCTTTGGATCAGTGTGTCACTTTTATTCTGCATACATTAGCTAAGATTCACTGTATATGAAATTCAGCAGCCAAGAGTAGATAACTTATTCCACATTGTGCTAATCCATTTAGATTACTGAGATGGATTTGGAATTTTATTTCAAAGGCTGGATCTACTAAAACTCTCATAACTTTTCTTTTCTTTTCCTTTTATTAATTGACAAATATATGTGATCCACATCTGCAAAGTTTCAAAGACTTTCTTGAAGTCAGAGTTGTTTCCCAATTAATGCAGTAACATTATTCTGGAAATACACTTTTAAATGGCATTTAAAATGCATTAAGACCAAACTAATATTTCTGTTATTGTCATTCACCATAATGATACAGCTAATGAAAAGTGACTTTTGCTCACACGGGATACTTTGTAATGCACATTTCATGATGAAAAGATTTCACACAGAACTGGTGGGTGGTGTTTGGTGATCCTAAACAGAAATACTTGAAAACATTCATAGTCCTGCAAGACAGCAGCTACACTCTGAACAGAACCAGGTTTCACAGAGAGAAACCAACAATCTTCTTACTTAAAAGAAATATGAATACTTTGTGAGTTTTAATTTCTGTCATAGTCCTTTGTAAAATATACTTGTTATGGCTGCCTGTCTATATTATGTGGCTACTGTGGGAAAATACAGAAAGGTACTGGGATAAAGAAAATACATTGGGACGGAATATATATCAAACTGTGAGATAATACATGTAAAGTGATCTTAAATATGTATTTTTCAGATAAGATGTTACTAAATTATTTATCTAAAGTATTAACTGTAACAACAAAAGCAATAGTAATCTGCTAAGAACCGTCAAGGATTAAATTTTAGTATTAAAATTAATAAAATGTGGTTTCACGTTCAGAGGAACACACATTACTACACACTAGGATGAATAGTTCCAAAACGTATTGACATTTTTATTTATTAGAATCCCAAAAAACTACTTCATGTACATTACAATGATACAAATAATTAAGAGTTTTGATGTTTTTATAATAAACCCCTATTAATCAGCGATTTACAACTTGAACATAAGTATTTACTCATGGATTTTGTAATATTTTTCTCAAAATACTAGAAGTTGTTCAACATTATTTTGAACTAATCAGCACATTTCAATATATACTCAATATCCAATATTTTATATCAAAGCTATAACCTCAAACTTATTTTACTTTATTATTACACTTGTATCTTTTATAGAAAATTGGTCTGGCCATTGGAAAAATGAAAAATGTGTGCTCCAAATTTCATTCTGGAGCATATTTTTCATGGTTAGTTTAAAGTCATCTTACATTTGGAAAGAGTAGACTATCAAACCAGTACGAATGCCATCATCATTATGTTATGTATATCACTAAAAGCTATTACTAGCAGAGTTTTAATTAAGTATTTACTGGTTCTGAATTTCCTGGGTCTTTTGAAATGTCTGCGTGTTAATAAGACTGAAGTAGAGCACATTTGTTTCACAATTTACATAGTGTAACTAACTTCAAAGATAGTTAATATTGTTCAATTCTGTGAATAATTATACTTCGAGTCAATGCTGTACCAGCATTTTGGTTTACCCTAAACATTCTGAGTGCTTAATACTTTGCTGTGTCATGGGTATGCTAATAGCTTTCTCATATGTGTAAAATGTCTGAGTAATCCCTAAGGATCAGCCTTATCTGATACAGATTGCACTGCAAGGCCTCACATAACATTCTTGAAAGAGAAGCATGACCCATTCCCTAATCTCTTCCAGGCGTCTTCTCAACTACTGAAAAAAGAATAAAATAAATATTTACATTTTGATTTTACTCATGTGTCATCAGTTATTCAATCTCTTCAGTCTTTTACAGTTTAGCTCGTGTCTAAAGAAAATGCTCAGACATTGTTACAGTATATAATTTGCAAAAATCTTTGCTTAAACAATTAATTTCTAGAAAGAGTAACTTACTAAATGACTATTTTCTTTTCCTATTGATTTGACATACTATAAAAATACACTTCCAGTCACCACAGAACTTTACTAATTCTCACTAATGTCCGGGGTCACTTTGTGATTAAGTGAATTCTGCAAAAGGGTGAATGAAATAAAAAGGTACTGACTAGGAGCAATCTCACTGCTGCCAGTTAGGGTTCACTTCCCAAATCCCTATGGCTATTTGAAAATTTTAAAAGCTTTACTTTCAATTGCAAGGGTATAGTTGATGATGCTTGTTAACAATCAATGCTCATTCCTTCTGAGAAGCAAATACAGAATGAGTTAGTGTGACAGGATTTTGTATCTTCCACAATGTAAAAGCCAGTGAGAGTTCTTAATCCACTGTAACAGCACTGGCAAATATTGGGAGCTTCAAATGACAAAGATGTGACATATCAAGGTTTTATTATAAATATGTGCAAGATGGCCTAGTTGGGAGTGAATGTGTCTAATGGTTAGAGTAGGTTGGGAATCAAAGCTCTAGAGTTCTAATCCTATATTTTCAACTGATTTGCTGTTGCATAGCCTTCACCAAATGAATCACAACCTCTTTTGCCTCAATTTCTCCATCTGCAAAATGGGTATAACACAAGGACTTTTGTGAGACTTAAATGATGCTTGAAAACTATTTTGAAATATTTTAATGGAAACAGTTATACACTAGCAAGATGCTATTATTCTCTTTAATGGAGATTTACACCTATATTTCAAAGATATATTTTTGATGTGAGCTTCTATGTTTTTGTCACATTTAATGTAAAATGTACTGATGCTTCCATTTCTCCAAGCAGCTGACAATATGATTTCCAAGCACCATAGAAAACATTGATGCAAACACCACTGTGCTTCTGCGGTCTTTTAGGCTGAAGAAGTGATATTTCAATTTAGCAGTCTCATATTAGCTATAAGGTTATACACTATTATTTTCATGTCATAAAGAGACAAGCTACTGCTTCTAGAAGATGCATATTCAATCTACTTCATTAAATTAAAAAGCTGTGTTCTGAAGACTACACTTATTCTCGTCAATATTCTTTTCAGACTTAGAATTCAGTTTTCTTTCAATTACCTTAGGATTCATTGGATTGGGAGGATCTGAATCACACATAATGTGTTTGCTGAATAAAATGGATAATTTAGGCAAAACCCGATTGTCACTTCCTGCATGAAAAACCATGGAAGAGAACTTCTCATGTAGAAATCTCCATGAGGAATCCCTTGTCCCAGAGAGGGAACAAAGGATGGAGGGAGAGAGATGGGGTTTGCTTCCATGTGGAAGGTGTCAACTTGACTCTCACTCTCTACCCTTTATAGGTCACAGACTGCATGATGGAAGGATGGGTCAGTAGTTGGGGAACTAGCCTGGTACTCTGAAGACCCATATTCAATTTCCTACTGCATCACAGACTTCTTGTATGGCTATGGATGAGTCACTTGGTCTTTTTCTTTGCCTCAGTTCTCCATCTGTAAAATGGGGATAGTACTTCCCTACCTCAGTTGGTGGTGCAAAGATAAGTCCATATATACTTGGGAAGTGTACAGATTATGCCGTAATGGGGGTCATAAAAGAACCTTGACAGTTGACTTTGTGTATTGACAATGCCTCCATGAGCTCTGGGGAATGTGACCAAGCACTCCTATATCTTTCGAATGAGTGTAGCATAAGCTTCTCACTCTCACTAGGCCATCTCTGCTGACCAGTGGAGAAGGCACAGCAAGGACATGGCCCTGACCATATCCCTCTCATTATTTCCCTCTTTGGGGATGTTAGCACTGCTGTGAAAACTACCCTTGAGAAGTTCTAATGCTTGCTGAGTGTAAGAACGGGATAGTTACTAGTCTAGATGATCTGTGCAAAGGGTACAGTTCAGAATCATCTTGGAATTTGCTCCAGGTTAGAAATCTGCCATTTATTTAAACAAATTTTCTCTTGAAGAAAGTCTCTTAATTTTGCTAACACAAGCTAAAATTTTCAGATGAATCTGCAGAACACTTAATGAAACAACAAAAATATGATTTAATATCACTTCCATCCTTAGATTCCCCCCCCCCAACATGTCTAATAGGCATGCAGAGAGAGATTACACACCATAGCTGCATATGTGGTGAGGTCCTCCAGACATGGATCTCCCCTCACCGCACAAGAGAGGAAGTGAATGGGATCAGTAACTTCCTACGCATTGTCCCTACCCCAGATTTCACAAAGAGTATCTATACAGCCCCCATTATCATGCCATCTGAGCATCTCACAACATTTAATCAATTTATCAGTAACAGCATCCCAGTGAGTTAGGGAAGTAGTATCTCCATTTCACATACAGGTCACTGAGGCACAAAGGGATTAAATGACTTTCCCAAAGGAAGTGTAAGGCAAAGCTGGGAACCCAAATATCCTGAGTCCCAGTCTAGAACCTTAGATGCATGCCTAGTCTAGCAGTCTAATTTACTCGAGGCTAATTCATTGTTCTGACACTTCATGTGAAAAAAATTATTATAGAAATTGTTACAAAATGGCCATTTCATTTAAATATATAGTTTCCTTTGTTTTATAAAAAGAGCGTCTTCATATTTCTTTAACTTTCTATGTTTAAAAACCTCTTCTGCATAGAGTCAGATCAAATAATATCTAATTATTCACTCTACATGATGTGTTTCTAAAATCTACCAACAAAGTAATCCACTATTTTACTACAGCCAAAATCTTATCTCTGCAAGTTTGTAAAATAAAAGATACTATAGCCAACTAATGTCCAACCATTTTACTTTTAATGTACTATACTGCACAAAAAGCTGGTTGTTACAACCTATTTTAGTCAACACAATTTGTGCTGAATTTTTTCCATTAAAAACAAAGTGAGTATTTGGTTTAATATCAGAAAATTGCTGCTATTTGCTCCATGGCATGTTACCTGGATAATTGAATAATCTCTTTTGGTTTCCAGTCTTTCAACCAGTGTATTGCTGATAAATTTAATGCTTTTATCCATTGGACATGTTATGCTAACTCATGTGGTATTTATAGAAGTACATTCCTCAGTACAGTAGTGCCAAATTTATCCTCCTATTGGTTTGGTCACTAAAATATTGCTGTTATATGGTCCTGACCTACACAGTATCTATGTTATTTATTTATCTGTAGTTCTAATGCATGCAACAATGTGGTATTTGATTGCCAAGGAAATAATACCATGTGTAGATTTAATTTGGCTCAGTCTAAACCAGTTGATTTTTTTTAATTGATGTAAACAACACTTGAAGGTAGAAAATTTTAAAACTTAATTGAAGAACTTAAATGCTAAAAACTACTTTAAATTTACCCAAAAATATAAGCTGTTTTATGGCTAGTAGATTAATAAATACTTTTTTCTTTCAGCATAAACAACTCATTCAGATTCTGAAGTATAGGAGTTTTGTTCAATACATTAATTTTTAAAGTAAGAAAGGTAAATGGTTAATTTTATGGCTTATACAAAACTGAAATTTAACTCATTTCCCTGTTGGTGGTATATTTACATGTGGAAAAGGGCAAAGTTAAAAATAAAATGAAGAAATTTGCGCAGCTTAGGTCTGGTTAGAAAGGCTTTTGCTAACCACATAAACTCCATTACATAGTATACAGACATTTGGCAGTATTAAGAGTGGTTTGCCTTGAAATACTCACACTTGGGTGCGTTCATTTGAATTATTACATTTAGAAGCCTTGAGGCATTATCACTTCCTTTTCTTAAAGTGGCACAATAATATGGGAAAGTGGTTATGCTTATCATTATCTGTCAGTCAAACACCTTCCGCATTAACAAAATATAATTTTTTCCATTCAATGAATGGGCGTGTGATGGCTCATACACATGTCAATATTAGTAGGACTTTGCCTTAAGAAGAAACCATTTTATTTAACAGGATGCATGACTGGAAGTAAATGAGGAAAAATTCCCATTTACACTTTAATGAGCAGGGACAATGTAGCTTGTCAAACTCATGCACTCACTGTAATTTAGGAATAAACGTCATATAATTTTACACAAACAGATCACATTAAATTCTAAGTGCTATCCTTAAAGAAATTCAGTGTACAATATGACCTGAACACACATTTCTCATGTGAATACTCACTGCCACTGGTATTTTTGCATGGGAAATCTCAATAAATGAGAAAAGAAACAGATCACCTGATGGTTTGGTAGTGAAAAGATAATCTATGTATCTATGACAGCCTCTTTCATTAGCTTTTCATCCTGTCAAACAATAAATATAACCTTTAACCTTGTATATGTAATGAATAAAACTTGAGCTTACACTGTCTAATCAAATGAGGGGTCCAATATATCTTACAGCTACAGCACCTTGATTGCCCCCATGCCCTTTTTTATAAATCTCCAATTAAGCATATAAGGGGAAAAAAAACAAGGCATAGAAAATTTGACAAAATGCTATGAACAAAGAGAATGTGCCTATTTTTAAAATAGTATTTAAATTTAATTGTTTGTGACTGGACAAGCAGTTCTTTAAACGTACGAAGATACTATAATGATAGGTGCAATACAGCAACCTGAACAATACAGAATGGAAACACTGGCATATAATGTAAGCTCAAAATTATTTCGTTTTATGGAAATGTAAATATATAACTATGGTACTAAATAAATGTAAAAACAAACATGACTTACTATAATACTATTTATACTTGTCACTTATATGGTGAGCAAATTACCTATATAAAAATTATTTTCCACAAAATATAAAACATTAATATTATATAACATACCTGACTCAAAGCAACAAAGATATGGAAATGTAAGGTAGCTGAATTTTTATTTCCTTGCTTTTGTGGGTTTGTGACAGGTATGTTAAGTGTGTAGCAACCGTAACGGCTTGTGGAAGAAAATTTTAGGGTATTAATTTCCTACAGGTTTTTTTTTTTTAAAAGGATGGGGACTTGGGCAACGGGGTTGAGGGCAGACCTGTGAGAAGGTAGAAGTGCAGCTGCTACCAGAGAAGATTTTATCCATCAGTGGCTATGCAGGAAGTCCTAATGTGCCAGCAGCAGTGCAGGAACACTTCTTCATTGTAGATTAAAATCTGACAGAAAGGGATAACTCCTGATGGAGAAGATTTAACATGTGCCCAGCTCCCCATCAATCTGACCTCTGTGCATAGCACATAACCTTTCAGCTGTAATGTGAATAATGACTAAAAATTAGCAACTCAATTTTTTTAAACCCTACCCATTGCACTAGACCTACTCAGGATCCACCTCTCTACCAAATTTTGTGGAGACAGACAATGAAAGTAGGATTGCCAAGAAAAAATTTCAGCTACAGTCCAATGACAGACTTCCTACTGAAAATGTTTGAAGAGTAATGAGACAAAAACTACACAGAATATTCAAAAGGCACAAAAACGAACCATGTGTGAAATTTCACATTGGCTAGTCAACTACCTTCACAGAAAAATAAAAATCTATGCTCCATTTTAAGACCATTTTGAAATGCAACCTATTTAGTTGCTACTAGGCGCCACCAGAATAATGTGTTAATGAAATCTTATAATTACTTTCCTTTTATCCATAAGAACCCCAAGTGGTTTGCAGATTACATATAGGGATGGCTTTTCCACCACTGATTACACCCCACATCTTGGTTGCAATGCAGCAGCTATTCTGCTTCAGCAACACTATATACAATGGATTTCAACAGAGGAACTGCTGAGCACTCTGAACTTTTCCAGTTTGAACTATAGGGTAATTTTAGATTAATAGGATATAATTATCCAATTTGGGCAGTATAGGATTCTGGGATAAAGTATTATTGTGAAAAGTGGGAAAAGATTCTTTAATATGAACACAAGTAGTCAGGGACTTGCTTTTGAATCTCCTCTAAAAGAACAACACAGCACTCCCTTATACCACAAAAAAATGCTAATTCACTGACAAGTCACTACTGACTCAGAAAGAAAAATGAACCTACTAAATCAGTAAGCTACTCCCGGTAACACCTATGTTCCTTGATGAGATCCCATCCAAATATGGACTCAATCAGACCTAAATTGTTTAAAAAAATCTCATGAAACCATACTCTGGAGTAATCTCAGTGCATTGTACTATGCAAACTGCTACATGCTGCTGCAAATATTAAAAAAGGAAATCTGAGAGATTTTGAAGAGATGAAGACTCTTATTCATATGTTTTATCATTATCATAAACAATATTGAAAAGTGAAAAACTATTTTCACTTTCTTGGGAATGACTTGACATACTGGTACTATCAATGCTGATATCCTACTATTGCAGATTTTGTTGTCACTCTTGATATAAATTACAATCTCATTATATACTTGCAAAGAATTTCTTTGGAAAATTTTAAATAATATTGTGAAAGAGCAGAGTACCCTGCAACCAGTTCGTTTAGATCTGGCCTTTTTTTAATTTAATTTAGGTATTTATGTTTTTTTAAGAAAAATGGGATTATATTCAGGTTTACCATCAAATCAGTCCCTCCAGCTGCTTTATCTATCCAAGTACTATCCATACATGCCAAGTGCAAAATTAGTCTAGACGTGTCATGAGAGCAGGCTTCCCAACAAGATTACAGTACTTCTGGCTTCTAGAGGTACTGCAAGGAAAGTCCTTCTAGCATTTATGCTTCCAATCCCCTCTGTATCAAGGAAATTCAGAGATTCATGGAAATGAAATAAATATTTAAAAGTTAACTACATGTGTCAAGATATGTTTATTTCTAGTTATCTTTCTCTCATTTTGTAAAATTGCTAATAAAATATCTTTTGTTTACAACTATTTGGATGAGATCTTGATATCTAGGAATACACACAGCTACCCTCCTGTAACCAATCAATAAAGGACATAAAAACATCATAATATAAAGATTCAGTCTAAAACAGAAAAGTCTTATCTAGGTGACATCCTAAAAGGACAAATTATGTGCCATAGAAATCACCTTCTACTTATGAAATTATTTTGTCATTTACTCTTTTAGCGTGCCGTGTAATGGCATCCGAGGTAAGGAAATCTATCTTTATAAACCTGAACCTAAAATAACACAAGCGCAAAAATGGTTCTGACACAAGTGCCAAATGTTGTCTTTAACAGGGCATGTTGGGGACTTTATGCTTGCTTTCCTAAATCTATATTTGAATTTTTACACAAGTCCATAAGGCTGAAAACTAATGATTTCAGGAGCTATGGAAACCTTCCTTTTTATATTTACAGAGGTTTAATATGTCTCAAACTAGTTTTGCCACTGCGCTCATAAAATACATCAGACACCTTAAAAATAAGTTCCCATTTAACACTTATTTGATATAACAAAACAATACCAACCTTCCATAAGAAAAAATATCAAAATAACTTATAGATTCATAGAATATCAGGGTTGGAAGGAACCTCAGGAGGTCATCTAGTCCAACCCCCTACTCAAAGTAGGACCAATCCCCAGACAGATTTTTGCCCCAGATCCCTAAATGGCCCCCTCAAGGATTGAACTCACAACCCTGGGTTTAGCAGGCCAATGCTCAAACCACTGAGCTATCCCTCCTCCCATGAGCCTTCATAAAATAATTATCTTTTCCTGCCGAACTTATTAATTCCACCTATTTAGTAACAAAAATTTAAAATATTCTATTTCATTAAGAAGTTTGGCTAGATTTCTTTAACATAAATGGTTGAAAATTACCTTTGAAAGATCCCTGAAGTTGCCTGGTAAGGTCAGGTCCAATTCCTCTGATTCGTAGTTCGTTAACACCCACGGAAATACAGGGTATTGGTTTAGATCATTGTACGTTCGTCCTAATGAAGAAAAAACAATCTTGTAAAAGTTATGAAATATTGCCTATTTATGCTACTGATAAACAATCCAGTAGTAAATTATCTTTATATTTGTTGTATCTTATGTTCCCAATTATCTGCTATTATATTAATACAGTTATCACCTGAAGGGAAAAACATGCTCCCAGTTGCATGTATGTGAATTAAAATTGAGAAGACAGCAGCCACATAGGTTATGTGTAAGAAGAAGAGACGAATGTTCAGAGGTGGCAAAAAAACAACAACCACATGCCACTTAATCCTATTTGATAGCCTCCGTTAGTAACACTAAACAACATTCTTAAACATCTGTTGAAATTTAAAGTTGGAAAAATCATTTTTGTTTTCGCATAAGTGTATCCGTTGTGAGGAGTGTGATACAGATGGTAAGTAACAAATAAAAGAAAGGGGTCCAAGCTGCAAAGTTCAGAACTGGATCTAGTCTCTTCCAAAGTTTGGGAGTTTGAATCTCAGGTTTTGAGGTTTGGGCCCATTTCTCATAATATTGGTTTATCCTAAGGGTTAATTGCACTCCATCTCCCACGATGGTGGAGGGTGCCTTTCCTGAGAAACAGGTGAAATTCCACTGCAGTGGTAGGAATGGGACTGTTGGTAAGTCTGGCACACTGCCTACCCAGCATGAAGCCCTGTTCTAATGAGTTTTTTAACATAGTAGTGCAAAGGGAGTAGGAGATCCGCAAGGAGCTAGGAGGATCTGCTACTATGCAGATTCTCTTATCTTCCCACCACTGGGAAGATAAACCCCATGGAGGCTCCTGCAGCCTGCAGGCTTAAGTAGCTTCTGCCAGGCAGCTCTGTGCTTGCTTCTCAATTCAGGGACAACTGCGCTCCACTCCTTGCCCCCAGTATATGTCCAGCATCCAGCCCATCTACTCAGGCTGGGTATTAGGCTCGTGATTTGAGCCTTAATAAATTATATATTATCCTCTACACGTTGGACTTAAAATCATGGAAGAACATTGTGGAGAACTATCTGGACTACATACACAAAGTAATGTCAATACCATACGCTGTAGTTTAATCTAAAGCATTGAATGGAAGGAGGGAGGGAGGGTGGGTATTTATAGGTGTGCATGAGTGTGTTGTAACCCAAGATATCAACCAAACTTCTATTACAATAATGTTGATCTGGGCACAGTGGCAAATGAGAACAGACACAGGAATGGATTTTAAGCAGCAGCCCACAACTTCATTAAACTTAATGAAGGGGAGGAGCCCTATCCTTCCTGTCACACATACTCTCACACACCAGGCACTTTAAGTGGTTCCAGTGTGGGGGTTATAGGGCTCCTATCATATAATCCATAATTCAGGATAGCTTCTCGTCTGCCTATCCCAGGACTCAACTCACTCATCTGAGACTTACCACCCTCACCCCCAATCTCACAAGTGGGACAGAGGGTATTAAAAGGGGACCTCATCTTGTGAAGATCAAGGTTTCCCCATAATCCATGAGCACAAGGCCCAACAGAAAAAATCCTAGGTCTTTTACTTTTGGGAATCATTTAAACCACACTGGAAACTGACCACAAGTTGCGACGAACTAACGCTGCTACCACAAATTACTAAATCTTTATTCCTATTTAACTTAACTGCACCTCCAGGATGCTGAGGGAGAACGGTTGCTGAAACAGAGCAAAGAGAGACTCCACATGGCCAGGATTAGGGTTTAAACTGACGAAAGGAGAGGAGCCAATCTGTCCCTTTCTCCCACAGCTGGTCAATGATTAGCTAGAGATTCAGGAGGAAGAGGGAATACCCCTGCATCTCCCCAGCATGTATTCTCCTCCTCCCATCATCTGGAGCTGTCTCAGTCACCACCAGCCCTATCAAGTTTCCCATCCGTTGAGATGGGTGGGTGGAATTTGTTTTAATGTTACTTCCTAACTATTGTCAAGATTAAAAATCTCCTCAAAAAGACTGAACTTTACTCTAGCCCCAAAGCATCTCCCCCAAATCTAAGAAACAAATCCCCATTACCACAAGTAAGCAGTTCAAATTAGCAAAAGCAATTTGTAGATCCAATTTATAACAATAATTTGCAGTTAAAATCAATCAATTGGAAATTCTGAATGAATTGCCAACTAGAAGATGGTAAATATGAAAGAACCTTATATCCATGTCAACTAGCAGCTAGTAGTAGTAAGAAAACCCTCAATTATATGAAACATTAAAAAAAACAAGTCTCTTAATCCTGCACCCGCTCCCATATTGACTTACTGAGAATCACATAATATGCAACATGATTCTTTAAAAAAAATCATGTAATAAATACACGTGTGTATATGTATGTATTAAATTAACAGACTGAAATAACCTACATTAACAATCCCCAGTCCTGCTGCAGATTTACAGCCCTGTCTCACTAACTGCTTCCTTCCAGATTCTGGACAGATTCCTGGGATACAAAAACCAGCACAGGGAAACACAGGCTTCCTTGTTCTGGGCAGTCCCACAGAAAAATCATGTCTGCTTTAGTGAAATATAAAACTTTCATTGCTCCACAAACACCCTATTTTTTCAATGAATGTTGATGAACAACAAGCATTTCTCTATTTTTACATACAGTCTCACTGATACCAATAAAAGTAGGTATTAACAGTTTTTGTGTTATTTTGTACTTTTAATAAATCAGTGTTATATCAGAAAATATAAAATTAATTTAGCTACAAATAGAAATTGGAAAGGAAAATTGATCTAATGCCTATATATGTGCAATGTACAAATAAAGAGGAAATAAATACAAATATAGTTCTCACATAATCTCAACAATTACTACATCAGTGAATATATGCTCTGATAAGACTCCTAGAGCAGATGAACATTTATCAAACATATGATTCAAGGAGCATACAAGAATTATCAGAATAAAGGAGAGAGGGGAAAGGTGCTCAGTGGCTAAAGCACAGGAGTGAGTATTAACAGTTTTAGTTTTTCCTCCCTGCCTTTGCCAAAGTTTTGAAGCAACACCCTGGTATAGTTGCTTGACTTTACTGTGCCCTCATTTTCCACATTTGTAAAATGGGATATTAATTTCCCCTCCCTAAAAGGGTTTAATTAATTAATATTGGTAAAGCTCTTGGAGATCCTCAAATGAGAACATAGGAACATAAGAGTGGCCATACTGGGTCAGACCAATGGTACATCTAGCCCAGTATCCTGTCTTCCAACAGTGGCTGGTGCCAGGTGCTTCGGAGGGAATGAAAAGAACAGGCAATCATTGAGAGATCCATCTCCTATTGTCCACTCCTAGCTTTTGGCAAAGTAAACAGAGGCGAGGGGCACTCAGAGAATAGGGTTGCCATTGATGGACCTATCCTCCATGAACTTATCCAGTTCTTTTTGGAAACAAGTTATAGTTTTAAAAGAAAGGTGCTGTAGAACTGCAAAGAATTTTATTATTTTAAAATAAATGTGCTGATGTTGTATTCCCATATCATAATCTTGATTGAAGCCAATGGGACTACTTGCATGAAATAGTTAGCAGTTTGAGCCTGATGTTGGGCCATCACAGGAATCTTTCTCCCTGCTTTCCTCTGAACTCTCTGTACTTCAACACTACTGTACGGGTTGTTCTTTCATAAATGAAGAGGAGTATAATTATGCCATACCATAAAGCAACTCAAGGAGCAAGACTACAATAAATGATAAAATATTTAAAATAAAATAATTTAATTCATCAAAGGATGAATATAGGCAAACAACACAGGAATGCAGGGGCAAGATTAGAAAGGCAAAGGCACAAAATGAGCTCAAACTAGCTAAGGGAATAAAGGGGAACAAGAAGACTTTTTATCAATACATTAGAACCAAGAGGAAGACCAAAGACAGGGTAGGCCCACTGCTTAGTGAAGAGGGAGAAACAGTAACAGGAAACTTGGAAATGGCAGAGATGCTTAATGACTTCTTTGTTTCGGTCTTCACCAAGAAGTCTGAAGGAATGCCTAACCTAGTGAATGCTAATGGGAAGGGGGTAGGTTTAGCAGATAAAATAAAAAAAGAACAAGTTAAAAATCACTTAGAAAAGTTAGATGCCTGCAAGTCACCAGGGCCTGATGAAATGCATCCTAGAATACTCAAGGAGCTAATAGAGGAGGTATCTGAGCCTCTAGCTATTATCTTTGGAAAATCATGGGAGACAGGAGAGATTCCAGAAGACTGGAAAAGGGCAAATATAGTGCCCATCTATAAAAAGGGAAATAAAAACAACCCAGGAAACTACAGACCAATTAGTTTAACTTCTGTGCCAGGGAAGATAATGGAGCAAGTAATTAAGGAAATCATCTGCAAACGCTTGGAAGGTGGTAAGGTGATAGGGAACAGCCAGCATGGATTTGTAAAGAACAAATCATGTCAAACCAATCTGATAGCTTTCTTCGATAGGATAACGAGTCTTGTGGATAAGGGAGAAGCTGTGGATGTGGTATACCTAGACTTTAGTAAGGCATTTGATACGGTCTCGCATGATATTCTTATCGACAAACTAGGCAAATACAATTTAGATGGGGCTACTATAAGGTGGGTGCATAACTGGCTGGATAACCGTACTCAGAGAGTTGTTATTAATGGTTCCCAATCCTGCTGGAAAGGCATAACGAGTGGGGTTCCGCAGGGGTCTGTTTTGGGACCGGCTCTGTTCAATATCTTCATTAACGACTTAGATATTGGTATAGAAAGTACGATTATTAAGTTTGCGGATGATACCAAACTGGGAGGGATTGCTTTGGAGGACAGGGTCATAATTCAAAATGATCTGGACAAATTGGAGAAATGGTCTGAGTTAAACAGGATGAAGTTTAACAAAGACAAATGCAATGTGCTCCACTTAGGAAGAAAAAATCAGTTTCACACATACAAAATGGGAAGAGACTGTCTAGGAAGGAGTACGGCAGAAAGGGATCTAGGGGTTATAGTGGACCACAAGCTAAATATGAGTCAACAGTGTGATGCTGTTGCAAAAA